TTTTCATCTTGGACTTTAAACAGAACATTGCCGGTTTAAAGATTGAACAACCAGAACTAGTATTGTATTCACTAAATTTATCCTGAGTTGTATTCTGTTATGCATCATACATGTGTTTTCCTAGTCTTCAGCTAGTTTAATATATAATAGTCTTGGTTAGCGGGTCTTTATTCTCTTACATTACCATTTTCTTTATATAGATTAAGAATATGTAGACGAGTGGATTAAATATTTGTACTTAGCTAGAAGAGAGAATATCCAGAAAAAAATATTTTGTACAGGAGGGGAATCTTAATTATCAAGTTATCAGGGGGGAAAGCGCCAAGCCATTACGACTATATAGCACTCGGAAGGGGTCAGGATAAGGATTTGGGCTGGGACGGGGGGGAAGGGGAATGAATGGTGCCCAACCACTTGTGGACGGTCGGGGATTGAACGCCGACCTGCATGAAGCGAAACCGTCGCTCTACCGTTCACGCCAGGGTTGTGTCACGTCCTCGTATTGTCCAAGACGCCGCTGCTGGAGTTGCATCTTGAGGTCGAGATGTAAAACTGGTGAGATCCAGCATCAGTTATCGAGAGTCGAGAGATGGAGGCTATCCCGAGATGTTGGCGTGATGTTAAGATGACATCACAATCTCAGATACATCATACTCCTCTCACTGATGTCAATCCAGGTCTAACATCACGGTCCGTCCAGCTCTCTCAGGATGTTGTTGTTTCCGATTTAGCTACTCAGAACGAAGTGTCCATGTAGCACGGGCTATGGTGAACCCGTAAGTCTCTCAAGAAGAGAGAGATCACAAGGGTCACACCTGGAAGGGATGACAGGTCATGAGGGGAGGTCACAGTGAGGAAAGAAGACAGGTCGAGCCTGGCCTCGGGCCGGGCTTGGGGAGTAGAAGAACTCCCAGAACCCCATCAAGCAGGTATCAAGCAAGTAACTAGAGGTCACATGGGGTCATAGGATCAGTGACTGCCATGGATCACAGGGGACTGGAGCTGATCTACAGGATCAAAATCGCCATCAGTTGTGATGGTCCTCACTTGGCAGTAGGTTGCCAAGGAAACCTTTGACCATTAGTCTCCCCTCGCGTCTCCAAACCTCTCTGACGCACCCTCTGATGCGCTGCCTCTTCCCTCGACGCACTCCCCTCCTCACAAGGACCAGGAATGTGGCTGTGATTGCTCAATAATACCGAGTTTCGTTACCAGTAGTTGGGTATCGGTATCTCGGGTGGTAGATCGATTGGTTGTTTCACCCTCCCCCCCCTCACTCACGCGCACGCACGCACACACACACACACACACACACACACACACACACACACACACACACACACACACACACACACACAGGTCCTGTTGATTGACAGTTGAGAGGCGGGACCAAAGAGCCAGAGCTCAACCCCCGCAAACACAACTAGGTGAGTACAACTAGGTGAGCACACACACACACACACACACACACACACACACACACACACACACACACACACACACACACACTTGAATCTTCAAGAAAGGTAATCAGGAGGAAGCACTTAACTACAGACCTGTATCACTAGCAAGTATCCCCTGCAAAATACTTGAAAGAATGATCAGACTAAGACTTGTTGCACACCTGGAGAGTATTAGGTTTATAAATGAACATCAACATGAGTTCTGGGAAGGGAAATCATGCCTAACAAACCTTCTGGAATTCTGATATAATTACAAGAATAAGGCAGGACAGGGAAGGATGGGCAGACTGCATATTTCTGTACTGCCAAAAAGCCTTTGATACAGTACCGCACATGAGACTGCTATTCAAACTTGAGAGGCAGGCGGGAGTAAGACAAAAGGCCCTAGTATGGGTAAGGAACTACCTAACAGGAAGGAGCCAGAGAGTAACCGTAAGGTTACGGTATGGGGCGAGAAGTCGGACTGGCAAACAATAACGAGTGGAGTACCTCAAGGATCGGTGCTGGGACCAGTTCTATTTCTAATATACGTTTGTTTACAGGAGTAGAGTCCTTTATGTCGATGTTCGCGGATGACTCAAAATTAATGAGAAGAGTTGTGTCAGATGAAGATTGTAGGATCCTCCAAGAGGACTTGAACAGGTTGCAGAGATGGTCAGAGAAATGGTTACTGGAGTTCAACACGAGCAAATGTAAAGTTATGGAAATGGGATTAGGTGATAGGAGACCAAAGGGACAGTACACAATGAAGGGGAACTGCCTACCTGTGACGACGCGAGAAAGAGACCTGGGAGTGGACGTAACACCTAATCTAACTCCTGAAGCACATATAAATAGGATAACGACAGCAGCGTACTCTACACTGGCAAAAGTTAGAACATCATTCAGAAACCTAAGTAAGGAGGCATTTATGGTACTTTACACTGCCTACGTTGAGACCAGTTTTAGGGTATGCCGCCCCATCATGGAGTCCCTACCTGAAGAAACACATAAGGAAGCTGGAAAAGGTTCAGAAGTTTAAGACGAGGCTCGTCCCAGCGTTACGAGCAATGTGATATGAAGAGCGCCTGAAGGAACTGAACCTGACGACACTTGAAAATAGAAGAGAGAGGGGGAGGGATATGATAGGAACATACAACATACTCAGGGGGATTGACAGACTGATTGATTGGAAATAGACGAAATTTTCACACTGAATACTAACAAAACGAGGGGACATGAGTGGAAGCTGGAAACATAGAGATGTTAGGAAGTTTTCTTTTAGCGTGAGAGAAGTGGAAAAATGGAATGCACTTAAGGAGCAGGTTGGGAAATCAAACTCTAGGTATGATAGGGAAATGGGACAGAAGCCATTGCTGTAAACAACCGATGGCTAGAAAGGCGGGATCCAAGAGTCAGTGCTCGATCCTGCTGGCACAAATAGGCGAGCACACACACAGAGGTTTCTGTGGAGGCTTATTATGTTTGAGGAATCATTACTCATCATTTAATTTTCTCCTCACCTGCCCCTGGGTGTACCTGGGTGTTAGTCAGCTGCCACGGGCTGCTTCCTGTGGGTGGAGGCCTGGTTGAGGACCGGGCCGCGGGGACACTAAAAAGCCCCGAAATCATCTCAAGATAACCCCTCTTCTTTTCTTTTCTCCCCCCTGTTCTTCTCTCCTCCCTGTTCTTCTCTCCTCCTTTTCATCTCCCTCGCCCTCCCCTCTTTCCACTCTCCCACTCCTGTTCCACTACCCCGTCCATCCCCACTCCACCTGGTTCAGACACTGACGCTCGCTCGCAGACACAAAGGCCTGGTCCTTGACGAGGAAGCCGTGAATAGGTGTCGGAAGGCACAATTGATGTTTTCCCATGGCTTAGACTGGTGTTTCTCCTCCCCGAGTTGGCTTGACGTCTGAGATCCACCTGCCGGAAGGGGGTTAGGTTATCTTGAGGTTATCTTGAGATGATTTTGGGGCTTTTTAGTGTCCCCGCGGCCCGGTCCTCGACCAGGCCTCCACCCCCCAAGAAGCAGCCTGTGACAACTGACTAACACCCAGGTACCTATTTTACTGCTAGGTATCAGGGTCATAGGGTGAAAGAAACTCTGTCCATTGTTTCTCGCCGGCACCTGCGATCGAACCCAGAACCACAGGATCACAAGTCCAGCGTGCTGTCCGCTCGGCCGACCGGCACCCATAAATGCAAATGTTTGCAACATTTGAAATGGGCTAGAGGTCCTTTAAATGGGTTTGTGGTTATGGCAATTGGTTGTGGAGGCTCTGAAGTGAGTTGTTTAGTAGGTTTGGGGGGGGGGTTATTTGGCTGTAAATTGGTTTGGGTTGCCGTAACGGAATCCGTGGATTTGGTTTGTGGGATTTCTAGATACTTTCTTGGGGAGGGGTATGAGTTTCATGACCGTCTCGCCTTCCTTAGGACCCTCCAGCCGTCTCCTTCTGCCTAAAAGACAGCTTAAGAGGATTAGAAACTTTGGCAATTACTTTAAACCTGATTATAATATTAACACTGGCTTAATGAAGAAGATGCGAACCCTGCGCCATTAGCTAACTCCGTCCAGGGATTACAATCACTCGGCTACCAGGTGTATACATGTGACCCTATGCTGGCAGTGCATACAAAACTCTATGGAACGGCGCCTTCCAAGAGCCATATGAGCCGGTGTGTGGTGTGGGCCCCTTTGGGTTTGGTCGTGGTCAGGGCCCCTTTGGGTTTGGTCGTGGTCAGGGCCCCTTGGGTTTAGAGGGGGACGCCCTCTTGGGTAGGTAGGGGGTGAGGCTTGTGTGTTAGATTCGAACCCTCGTCACGGCCCTTGTGGATTTGTTCTTGTGTTGATGTATTCCTCGCTCCCTGCGATGAACCAATAATCACGGTGCCTCATCTGGGCCGCTAGTATTGAGGGCTCAGCCTTGAAAGGTTGGTTAGTCAATGCCATTGATCTCACGACATCCCTCCCAGAGTCTCACAATAGCTGGCCTCTCTGCGGGGCTTCCTTGTCTCTCAAGGTCCCTCTCAGTCTCTCAGGATGAGGCTCCGGGTCGTGGGTGGGGGGGGGGGAAGGTTTGTAAACAGGTGTGTGTATGTGTATTCATCTAGTTGTATTCACCTAGTTGTATTTTGCGGGGATTGAGCTTTGCTCTTTCGGCCCGCCTCTCAACTGTCAATCTACTGTTACTACTATTTTTTTTCTACAACACACACACACACACACACAGGAAGCAGCCCGTGACAGCTGTCTAACTCCCAGGTGCATATTTACTGCTAGGTAACAGGGGCATTCAGGGTGAAAGAAACTTTGCCCGTTTGTTTCTGCCTCGTGCGGGAAACGAACCCGCGCCACAGAATTACGAGTCCTGTGCGCTATCCACCAGGCTACCAGGTCCCCCAAATAAGTTGTCAGAAGTGGGATGTGTGTGTGTGTGTGTGTGTGTGTGTGTGTGTGTGTGTGTGTGTAATTTTGTAATTTATTTCGTTTAGTAATTTTTGTTTAATTTATGACGTGATTTTCTTATTTTATATCGATTTTCTGTATTGTTTCAGATTAGTTGATATTTTGTTTTTGTGTTGTTTACATTCTGTTTACACATTTTACGGAGACATTATTTAAGTAAACAAAGACAGGCGGATAACTTGTCAGACGACAAGACAGTGAGGGAGTTATCTTTCAGTTAGAGGAAGTTATCCCGGCTTGCAACCTTCAGTACACCGCGCTAGGCCGATACTGGGATTGAAATTATCAACAACGTGTTCGTTTCCTTAGTGCCATGGCTGACTTAGACGATGTTCAACACTCCCTTCTGTCACAGGAAGAGGAGATTGAGCTCCAGTTTGGTAACAATGGGAGCGGCGTTACGGACCGCACGACCAGCCATGATGGTAATTCGGTGAGGTTCACCTACAGCAGTTTTGGTCAAGGAATGGATAACCTGACTAGGAAGGTCGCGCCAGGCTTGAAAGAACACGTTACCGATGCACGCACCAGAGAAAACGGTAACACAGCGGACACCAGAGAAAACGGTGATGCAGCGGAGACTAGAGAAAACGAAGATATCGTGAGGCGAGTGAGGAGTGACGATACTCTAGAGGCTCGCGCTACCATCAAACGCTTGGAGTTCAAGCGGAGTAGGAACTATCGTCGGTCCCTACAGTTCATCGACGATACCCCGGATAGTCAGATGGACGATGACTCGGGCACCTTCTCCCCCCAGACGGTGGGGAAGCTGGTGAGCGGCTCCATTCACAGGTCGGCGGAGAGCAGACGCAGTTACAGGGAGGATAGTAAAGAGGACGAGAAGGAGGTAAGTGTATTAAGATTATTAGTTCACCCTTTCCATCCGGTTATAATTCCTTACGTCAGACTGCAAGCAGCGGTGTCCAACAGCCTCGTTGACCAGACTACCAACCACATCTGGTCGGGGACCGGGACGCTGGTGGACATTGATCCTCGGAATCATCTCCAGGTAAGGTTCCACTTTCCGGTGCAGAAGGCCTGGCCGTCTCCAGCATGCAGGCCACAACAGTCGCACGACTCCCAGGTTTTAATTTACTGCCCAAACGTCTTCGTTCTGGGCGGGGATCGAACCTGGGACCTTTAGGGTTTGATCCGACTGCGTTGATCACTGACTGTTGGTTTAGTATTTATTGACATTTATATTTTTATGTCATTGTATTTTCCAGTTATAATATATGGATAATCAATTACCAGGAGAAAAATACACTAGTTTCCCATCATTCTCTCCATAATAGTTTTCTATTATGGAGGGAAGGCTCTCTCTCTCTCTCTCTCTCTCTCTCTCTCTCTCTCTCTCGCTCTCGCTCTCGCTCTCGCTCTCGCTCTCGCTCTCTCTCTCGCTCTCTCTCTCGCTCTCTCGCTCTCGCTCTCTCGCTCTCTCTCTCTCTCTCTCTCTCTCTCTCTCTCTCTCTCTCTCTCTCTCTCTCTCTCTCTCTCTCTCTCTCTCTCTCTCTCTCTCTCTCTCTCTCTCTCTCTCTCTCTCTCTCTCTCTCTCTCTCTCTCTCTCTCTCTCTCTCTCTCTCTCTCTCTCCTCTCTCTCTCTCTCTCTCTCTCTCTCTCTCTCTCTCTCTCTCTCTCTCTCTCTCTCTCTCTCTCTCTCTCTCGCTATCGCTCTCTCTCTCGCTCTCGCTCTTGCTCTCTCTCTCTCTCTCTCTCGCTCTCTCTCTCGCTCTCTGGCTCTCTCTCTCGCTCTATCCCTCGCTCTCTCCCTCCCTCCCCCCTCCCCCCTCCCCCCCATGAACACATGTGCCAGCACAGGTGTGGGTAGTCGAGCGTGATCATACGCTAATGAACTTATGTACATATAGAAGCAGGTCAAACATATGTAATCACATTCACACATGTGTAATCAAATCACATGCCTCAGGATTAATTATGGCATGTGATACAAAAGTGTGTAATTAGTAATGTGGTTTGTGACAAATGATTTAGTGATAACGATATTGGACGTGGTTAATTAATAGATCCCATTTCGTGGTATCAAAGAGTGGATTAGTTCACTATTATTTGTTGCTAATTGTTCGCTTGCGTGAGCAAGTGGTTACCAAGGACCGTTGGCTACACACACGCACACACACACACACGCACGCACCTGTAACAGGAACCTGTACACCTGTTGATTGACGGTTGAGAGGTGGGACCAAAGAGCCAGAGCTCAACCCCCGCAAGCACAATTAGGTGAGTACATGCACGCATGCACGCACACACGCACGCGTAATATCAGCAGCATACGGGAACTCTTAACAAACAATAGAACAACTTTATAACCGTAATATATAAGTATTATATATACTTTATATATATAATAATAACCTATAATTATTTATTTTAGCGCTGGTACGTGGTGGTGGTGCCCTCGATGCCCGTGTTAGACATGGTAGCTTGTGCCTGCTACTTAGAGAAAGGGAATTTCCGAGTGTTTGCTATTGATGTTGTCTTATATTCGAATGTAGCAACGGAGTGAGGCAAGGGGGAGAGAGAGCGTGACTCCTGCAGGCGAAAGCAGGCGGCGGTAGTGTCTGCAGGAGGCGGCGCAGCAGACATAGTCTTCGGCGCGTCGTTCACTACAGCACCGCGCGCGACTTGCTACTGGAGACAACAACAGACACGACAAGCGACACCTACACGCCTCCCCGACGCTCGTTATTAAACAAGAAACGAGCAAGCACGGTTTCCCTGTCGTGAGTGGGTGCCCCTCGTTCGTGTAAGCTTTCGTGCGCGTTCGCGACTCCGGATTCCCCCAATACCTCGTCACCTAACTGCTCGCTGTGTTGCCTCGCGGCTCGACCCATAGGCCCTGGTTGATACCTGGTTGATGGGGTTCTGGAAGTTCTTCTACTCCCCAAGCCCGGCCCGAGGCCCAGACTTCACTTGTGAGAGTTTGGTCTCATAATCGCACCAGTTTTGCGGGAGTTAATGGGCATCTCCTTAATGGGCATCTCCTTAATGGGCATCTCCCTCGTGTCCGATCCAGGGCCAAGCTCCACCAGGGTAGGATAACCTTTGCCCTCCCTTCCCCACACACACGCAGGTGGCTGAGTGGACAGCACGCTGCATACGTAGTCCTGTGGACTGTGAGTTCGATTCCCTACGCCGGCGGAAACCTAGCAGTAAATAGGTACCTGGGAGTTAAACAGCTGTTACGGGCTGCTTCCTGTGTGTGTGTGTGGGGGGGGGAGGGGGGAGTTAGTAGTTAGTAACAATTGATTGATTGACAGTTGAGAGGCGGGCCGAAAGAGCAGAACTCAACCCTCGCAAACACAACTAGGTGAATACACAAGAGGCCACAGGAGGTCCACAGGAGACCACAGGGGGCCACAGGAGGCCACAGGAGGGCCACAGGAGACCACAGGGGGCCACAGGAGGCCACAGAGGGCCACAGGAGGCCACAGGTGGGCCACAGGAGGCCACAGGGGGCCACAGGAGGCCACAGGAGGCCACAGGAGGTCACAGGGGGCCACAGGAGGCCACAGGAGGCCACAGGAGGCCACAGAGAGCCACAAGAGGCCACAGGTGGGCCACAGGAGGCCACAGGTGGCCACAGGGGGCCACAGGAGGCCACAGGAGGCTACTGGAGGCCACAGGAGGCCACAGAGGGCCACAGGAGGCCTCAGGAGGGCCACAGGACGTCACGGGGGCCACAGGAGGCTACTGGAGGCCACAGGAGGCCACAGGAGGCCTCAGGAGGGCCACAGGAGGGTCACGGGAGGCCACAGGAGGCCACAGGAGGGCCACAAGAGGCCACAGAGGGCCACAGGAGGCCTCAGGAGGGCCACAGGACGTCACGGGGGCCACAGGAGGCTACTGGAGGCCACAGGAGGGCCACAGGAGGCTACAGGAGGCCACAGGAGGCCACAGGAGGGCCACAGGAGACCACAGGAGGGCCACAGGAGACCACAGAGGGCCACAGGAGGCCACAGGAGGGCCACAGGAGACCACAGAGGGCCACAGGAGGCCACAGGAGGGCCACAAGAGGCCACAGAGGGCCACAGGGGCCTCACGGCCAGACTTAACATAACACACATTAACAACATTGTTAAGGGTGTTGCGGGAGTCTCCGCGTGTCTGCTCTCACATTTATTATTTTTATTGTCTTTATTTTTTGTTTACCTGTTCGTGTTATTTTCCTGTTTACCTGTTCGTGTTATTTTCCTGTTTACCTGTTCGTGTTATTTTCCTGTTTACCTGTTCGTGTTATTTTCCTGTTTAATCCGTTGTTGTTTTATTTATCTTGGCTGTATCTGTTATTGGCCGAGGTTTTATCCGTTACTTCGCCTGTTATCTGTTTATGGTATACAGTATACACCTGTATACTGCGTTTGCAGTATACAGGTGTACACACCTGCTCCACACTCTTGGTGCTGTGGTGGCCTGCTGCTCGAGTGCTCAGAGTGACGGGAGAAATTGAATTAAACCACACTAAGTGTGGCACCATGGGCCGTGTGGCACCAGGGGCCGTGTGGCACCATGGGCCGTGTGGCACCATGGGCCGTGTGACACCAGGAGCTGTGTGGCACCATGGGCCGTGTGGCACCATGGGCCGTGTGGCACCAGGGGCCGTGTGGCACCAGGGGCCGTGTGGCACCATGGGCCGTGTGGCACCATGGGCCGTGTGGCACCAGGAGCCGTGTGGCACCATGGGCCGTGTGGCACCATGGGCCGTGTGGCACCATGGGCCGTGTGGCACCATGGGCCGTGTGGCACCAGAGGCCGTGTGGCACCAGGAGCCGTGTGGCACCAGGGGCGTGTGGCACCACGGACCATGTGGCACCAGGGGCCGTGTGGCACCACGGATCATGTGGCACCAGGGGCGTGTGGCACCACGGGCTATGCTTCATAAACTCTGACATAATAATAATGCCATAAAGACGTGATGCTTTTGTTACATTTTAAAGACATATTCAGTCTTTTCACCATCACTGCCAGTATTCACCCAGGTGTCCACACTGAAGACATTTAAATGTCACGACCACCAGCGCACTCTAAGGTTAATATAATAGTTTTTTGTATCTGAATATTTTTAAGGAGGAAAAGTGATGTGGAATGGGTTTGTGGGAGGGCATCTAGGCGTGTGTTCTGGGAGAGAGAGAGAGGGAGAGAGAGAGGAAGGGAGGGAGGGAGGGAGGCTGGGCGCTTCCCTTGAGTGAGTTTCCCCGGAGGGTCGGAGGGAACTAGAGTGAGGGAGGGGGAGGGAGAGAGTGAGGGAGGGCAGTTCCCACCACCTGTGTTCTATCGAGACAATAAGGCGTGAGGCAGTGGACAGTGAATGTGCCAGGCACGGCCCTGTGTACGTCAGGTTTACCTCTGGTCTCCCTCACTCACAAGTCTCCCTCATAAACCAACCAAATGGTTTATGAGGCTGTGAGGGTCGTCCCTCCGGTGTACACGTGCTGCTTTCATACTCATGTTCCTCATCACGTGCGAGTCGTGTTCAACTTTCCCCTCACAGTAAAACTCATTATGAGTAGCTAATGTGAGGGGAAATGAGGCGCCCACGACGCTAAACTAATTTCAATTAAACTTACCGATAGTGAACGTTATTGGTATGAAAATGATTGATATTGAAAGTGATTGGCAATTAAATTTCTGGTATAATACTGGTATTGAAAAATGATTGTGAAATTGAATGACTATTACAAGTAATGGAATTAATAGTGATTACACGTGGACGACTCGTATGGAAGTGCAGGTATTACAAGCAGTGAGAGTGGTTGTGTAGTTAGTAATGGTGACGATGACCTTTGTATCTTAGGCTCACGTTAGTGAGGTGTTTTATGTTCATTTATTATGTACCCATGTTGTGGGTAGTGGTGGATCCCCATACCCATGTTGTGGGTAGTGGTGGACCCCCATACCCATGTTGTGGGTAGTGGTGGACCCCCATACCCATGTTGTGGGTAGTGGCGGACCCCCATACCCATGTTGTGGGTAGTGGTGGACCCCCATACCCATGTTGTGGGTAGTGGTGGACCCCCATACCCATGTTGTGGGTAGTGGAGGACCCCCATACCCATGTTGTGGGTAGTGGTGGACCCCCATACCCATGTTGTGGGTAGTGGTGGACCCCCATACCCATGTTGTGGGTAGTGGTGGACCCCCATACCCATGTTGTGGGTAGTGGTGGACCCCCATACCCATACTGTGAGTGGGGTTGGACCCCCATACCCACCCACGTTTTCGGATCTATTAAATTTGGTTAGAATTCTAGGTATATTGCTGCTTTTGGACTTACCAAAGGCAA